TTTAGGTTGAGTAAAAAATCGAGAAAAAACTATTTATAAACAGAGTGAATTACTCCGGTTTACCTGTGTGAAAAGCACTGAATTCCTCCTTTTAATTTCAAAAAGTGTATAAGTATTCTCCACTGGATACGTAACAGAAGGATCTGGCAGAAGCTACCATTATCACGTTTCCTGACGAGCTGTGTCGTTGAAATTGTTACCTTTTTACTTTGTTGACGCGAATTCACTACACTCAAGAATCAAGCACTTAATTGGTGGAACAATTTTTCAAGGCAAACTGGTTCACATAAAATCTCCACTGGATACGTAACAGAAATATCTGGCAGAAGCTACCATTATCACGTTTCCTGACGAGCTGTGTCGTTGAAATTGTTACCTTTTTACTTTGTTGACGCGAATTCACTACACTCAAGAATCAAGCACTTAATTGGTGGAACAATTTTTCAAGGCAAACTGGTTCACATAAACACTTCTAAGCTGCCAACAGTAGTGTTTGTTGATAGAACAGGGTAGGCTGAAGCTGCGAGAACCGTATTCATTCAGCCATCACTTTTCAAGTCAATATTGTGAATTCCATTGCGTTTTTCTTAGCATATGTTATTCCTTCAGGTGAGCAGAAACCTCTCAGAGTTCACCAAAAATTTCCGAACATGAAACTCTTATGGGATTACCTTCGTGTTTTGGAGAGCAGCGAAAACTGTCCCTTTCAAAACAACGCCAGTAAGCACAACACTAGTAAGCGTGATCCCCATGGTGGGGACCAACTCGCTATCAGATTGTAAAAGGTGACTATTGATTCTCTTGAGCGCTCCTATCGTCTGCTTAGAGTATTTTGACCAGTCACGATGATGTCACGAGAGAATTCCCGTATGGAAAAGTGGTATTTTTCTGTCATGTGTAGGGCGATCGAGAGTTGCGGAAACCGCAAGCGCTCACAGAACGTTTTTGGAAACTCTTCTTCGCTCATGCATGTTTTCTATGCGGTCGAATTCGCAGACTCCTGGGTCGCCACAATTATCCGGACGAAGTCCTTACCATTGCTCGAGATCCCTTTTTATCTTGAAGCTTTCATTGAGTCGCACAGAAAAGGGGTTTATTAACGCCATTCAGGGAAGTTCCAAAGCTTTAATGTAAACAAAATCGCGATGCGAACTATCCGAAGGTTTGAAGAGTTGGAACTTTCTTTTCTTCATCCCTTCTTGTCTCTAAAGTTAATTAAGAAAAGCTAGACTCCCAGAGAATTGAAGCATTCAGACAATAGCTTACTCGAAAATCGTGAATGTTCAGTTGGTGCCAATCAAAGTTTCCGGACGTAATCGTGTTTCAAGGAGTCGACTTCCTGCTTCTGTTGTCTTGCGTAAGTAGCTCAGCCGATTCCGAGCCTACAAAAGATCTCAGGACTTTGAATTCCACACTGCTCTTGCCCGGACTCAAAAGCCCAATTTCTCGCTCGGGATCGAGAAATTTGTGCACGCCTACATGGTTTTTTTTCTATATTTTTTGTTTTTTTTTTTTTATTTTTGGTTTTACGTCTCTACTATGAGACTTGAATTTCGCCACTGATCGACTGTTCATTAGATTCAAGTTTTTCCTGAGTTCCTCTTTCTTCCGTTTCCTCAGCTTCTAATCTGCGCTTCTCCTATATTATACATATTCCGGTAACTGAATCTATGGAAGTTGACCAGTCTAGCCGCTACCGAATCATCGGTGAGAATAACAAGAAACTAGCTCAGACATTTCCAATTACTTCGCTGATGTATTGTATTATCTGAAGCGATTTGTACGAAATTGCGTCTGCTCCGATGACTCGGTGAGAAAATTAGCTACAAATCATGTTTTCCAAAAAAGCGCTGCAGAATACATGCACAATACCTCACTTTCATCTAATTTCCTACATGGTAACTCGGGTAGTGCTGAAGCCTTGACTTGTTAATTACCTGCCTCTTTCACCCTGTCGGTCACTAAATTTTGGTTCGTCACTTCCAATCAGTCAACCCTACGTTGTTACGAGTAACAACGGGGGGGTCGTACTCAGTTGAGCTTGGAGGGTGGGTCGTACCCTCTCGGTGGCCGACAGTGGGATTCTTGGTAATATCGGATAATAGCCAGCACGTTACGTTTTCGTAAGATGACTGATACTAGAGCATCTATAAACCACGATTCCCTCTAAATGAGCTTTCAAATGAATCAGCGAATTAGAAGGGCGCCCGAGGCGTGGCGCGCACCAAGGCAAGGGATGTAGTGCAAGCGCATGCTCGAGCTTTCTAGCACATCC